AGAGACTATCGCGAGATAGATCGATTTCATCTCGTCGGCTGACCGTAGAACAGCTAAACTTGGGCAAAGGAGGGGGCTCGTTTCGCGAAACTGCGAGATTTCGTAATAACGTCGGCAGTACGGCTCGATAAAGTGGCGTTGTGACGCGTCACGACCACGCGAAACTCGCGTTACACCGCGATGATATATGGCTGCGATATAAGAAAATAAGTGGCTTTATAAAACCGGGAGAATTCGTGAAATCGTTCGAATCGTGTATCTCTCGTACAGAGAGAGCGGGCTACCAAGATTGCAGAGGCTCCTATCGCTCGATTGAACGAAACGAGCCCTGAAAAAAAAAAGCTCCCCCGTTGCGTATAACGATATTTCTATGTTTTTCGCTGATCAAAGCAATTCTCTCGTCAAGAGACCATTATCGACTGGAGAATGTTGCGTTTGACGAATAGACAACCACGCTGAACCACGCTGAACCACGCGACGTCACAACGTCTCCGGTCGTAGCAACGTGAACAAATCGAATGAACAAACGAGCCAGCCTTTCCGTAAAATTTGTTCGTCTACAAGACGAACGGAAGAGACGAACAATACTTTACAGAGTGGCCCTATCTCGCGGTATCGTTGTGACTTTATCGGCGCGTGGTCAGCGTTTCCTGAGGAATCAGAAGCAGACCGACGGTCTGTAGAGACCGATGTAGCCGCACAACCGGGCTCGTAACGCGGGCAACAATATCGCCGCCGCAGAGAGATTGTCTTGCAGTTGCGAACACTCGCAGATCAGGAGGTACATCTTGTCGCCCTGTGACATGGACTTGTGCAACGTGATCCGTCTCAGGCCGACCGATTTCGGTAAGTATCGATACATCATACGAGCACCTAGAACAAACACGATCGCAGTAGAACGTGAGATGCTATTAACAATATAACTGATTATTCGATCAAATATGATGGAATTGTAATACCGGTCCAATAGAGCCAGTTTTGCTCAAACTTGAGGCCGTCGTCGCCCTCGAACACCTTAAAAATCGAGACAATATAGCCGGTGGACGGAATCGGTGGTCTGACACCAGGTGGTTCCAGCGGTGGCCTCGCTATGGTGGCCACTTCGTTGAACAAGTCCAACGTGTGACTTGCTGCGTAACGAAGGTCCCGAGGATCAAACTTTCTCAAGGCAGCGCATTGCACCTCGTTGTAGAAATCGACGGGGTCCGTGTTCTGCTTGTTTATCAAGTAGTACGTGATGAATGGAAAATCCGCTGAAATCGATTGTTATTCTATTATTATAACATTATGTAACATACATATATTATCATATTGTTATAACATTACTAATGTTACTATATTATTATAATATCTATTATAATGTTATATATAATTATAATTAGTAGCCAATTGCAAACACGAATCGTGATCTTACGGAATTCGAATTTGAATTTAGATTGAAAATTGCTAAATACGAATACCTACAACGTTTCGACTCGACACAATGCAACAAACTGCCTAAGAAGATTGAATAAGAATAGACAGGGAGGATTAACCCTGGGAGTAGCTGATCGATCGTCAATCGTCAAATTACCATCTTTTTCCATATTCGTGAGCAGAATACTCTGGGAAGCGGAGGGTGCAATCTCAGCGACCAGCTCAGCCGCAGTGTCCCGTTGGAGGACCAAGGGTCGAGAAACTGGAGACTCGACCAGAGGATCCAATGGCTCGAGGGGCGTCATGAAATGAGCGAGAACACATTGCTTCGGATCCTCGACTTCGAGGACCGACAGCGGACTTCCCGGTCTTTTTTTGTCCGCGATTGGCGCATGCTGGAACGAGTCGGAATAAAGCTGTGATTGAAAACAAGAATTAATCATTCCCGTGTCATTTAGTTTTCCCGATGTTGCTTGGTTTTGCTAATGATTCATTAAAAGTGCGATCGCGAAATATTGACAGTGCAAATAAAAAAGGGAGAAGAGAAAGGAGGACAGGTGTACAAATACGCAGTCATCGAATCGGTACCGCTCACAATTTTCACTTGGTTTGCACATTTCTTTTACTTTATTCCTTCTTTCTTTATTATTTCCACTATTTTAGTCCCTTCTTTTCTGCTTTTACTTTTGAATCCGTAATATAAAGAGATTTTTAATAAAGTAGAGAAAATGGACATTTCAGAACACGCTTGTATAATAATCTCGACAGATAGCGAATGAATTTTGCAAATAAATGAATTTCGTTCCAACTAAAAATACCTCACTAAAAACAACGTTGAACGTTGGAAATTGTGCGAGTGTTGTCCTAATTCAATGGCCATGGGTTCTGGTGAAGAGCCACCCATAAATCTGTATCGCTAATGCGTTATGCGCGTCATTTGCGTTACGTTGATACGTCATTTATCAGACGTTTGTTGTACTCCGCCCCGGCAGGTACGCTTTTGTCTATTTTTACGCGTTTGAGGCCGAGCCAGCAAGGTCGTAGCTGCTCACCAAGCGCACTCTAAGGCCAATAACTCGAGTATTCTGGTTCTAGCGGGCGCATTCTTGATTAATGTAGTTTCGCGGGCAGATCTCGTTCGAGTGATTTAAAGAGGAGTTCGCTGGATCTCGAGACGCCACGATGGCGTTACTCCACTTACGATCGAGCCAGCCGCGGGGATTCGTCTGTTTTCGCTGCCACGATTTTGGAAGATCCAACTAATTTTGGCTCGATCTTGCGCGTGTCGCAATTGACTTTGATGGAAAGAGCTTGGCAGGAGAAATAAAATTGCTGATTATCGTCGGCTCCTGAAAATTTTCTGTCATCGATGTCTCGTCGTGACGTTTATTGCCAAATTCGGTTTCCCAAAATTATGGGACCAAGAAACAGGCGAGAGGAACGCGCAATTCTTCGCCCAGGAACAAGTAATCATCGATGTCGAAACACGCATAATACATTTAAAAAGCTTCTATCGATCGATTATTGCGTTGCGTGCAAGGTGTTGGCGTTGAACAGACGCGTTGCAAAATGTTCGCGCAGCTCCCTGTTACGAAATATGCTATTGCGAAATGCGGGTGCGTATCAAAGCAAGTTTAGACGTCACGAGATAAAAATGACATAAAGGAAGACAACACAGGAGAACTAGAGATTGTTCGAGGAAGTTCTGTTAGTATTTACACAGGCAATAAAGTAATACTGCGCCGTGCAAATCGTGGTATTAATAAACAAAACCCACATGATCTCGACTCTTAACCGGTATTGTCGAGCTGGATATTGGCGTCCATGAAAACTTGAAGTTAAATTATTTACAAAGAGAGACACTCAACTCAACGATTGTGATTCTAATTAAAAGAAGCAGTTTTTA